TATACTATTGTTATTTTTAGTGTTTTGCCGTTATACTATATATATCTCGGAAATCTTTCAGTTGAGCACTGTTGAGAGATGGGCGAATTCTATAAACAGCAGCTGTCACCGCTAACGCATCGCTCTTCATTAATGAATAGAACATTCCAGCTGTCTGGCGTTTGTTTACATTCATAAAAACAATACGCTGGAATTCGGCTTTCTCTCTGCCGAAGCGCTGATGGCATGAGGATAGAAACTTCGACTGATATCAAATCGGTTGGGTTTCGATCCTGGCTTGAAGCATTCGGTTTTCTAGTCGCACTGATGAGCTGTGATACAGCGAAACAAGCCTGTATGCGAATGAAATTGTTATATATTGTTATGGGACCTTACCCATAATAACATAACGGACTATTCCATACGTAATAAATACTACGCCTCAAGAGGAAGCAGGGAGTTCCGTCTGAAGTCTGGAGTGAAGTCCGTCAGGAGTCTGTCAGTCAGTCAGAGCGAGCGAGTCAGTCAGTCGAGACAGAGTCAGTCCGAAACAGAGCAAACACTTTTCTATCTCTCTGTATATATTCCTGTTTGTAATATATCTGTGTTATTCCATATCCGCCTTCGAGTTATTCTTTATTGGTTCTACCTTGGACTATCACCGTGGTACAAGGAACCGGACCATAACATATATATATATATATATATATATATATATATATATATATATATATATATATAAGTATATAATTGGCATATACGGAATGAATTCCAATAACCAACAATTACTATTCTTAAAAGAGTGCACAATACAAAGTAGAGCAGATATAATTATTATTTATAAAAAAATTATAACATAAATATGTTATAAAATCACTACAAAAATAACCATTTTGTTGAAAACAAAATGTCTATTTTTGTAGTGATTTTATAAATATATTTATGTTATAATTTTTTATAAATAATAATTATATATATATATATATATATATATATATATATATATATATATATATATATATCACAGCTCATCAGTGTGGCTAGACATCCGATTGCCTCAAGCCAGGATCGAAACCTAATCGATTTGGCATCAATTGGAGATTTTTCCTTGAGCTATCAGCTCCCGGTAGAGAGTATTACGTATTTTAGAATAGACACGCCAATGACTCAGAGTGCTCAATTCATAGAAGAGCTTTTACATCAGCAGTAGCAGTCACTGTTTACAAATTCGCTCTAAATCTCCTTCTAAAGTGCTCGACCGAATTTTATTTTTTCGGGGGCGTATATATGTGTCATCCACAGACAAACTGTTTCGTCGTATCATAGCTCATCAGTGTGATAGACACCCGATTGTCTCAAGCCAGGATCGAAAACTAACCGATTTGGCATCAGTCGGAGATATATGTATGTAATTGTTAGTTATAATTCTTAGTTTAATCCGAGGGATGGGTAGTAAGGAGTTAAACTCAGTGGAAAAAGGTGATTAGACGCTGAGCAATATTAATAAAGATGAAGACGAGTTATCCGTAGACACTGAAAACGGAATGAGAACAACCTAATCCCTTGGATTAAATAGATAATTAAACCAAATAAATCGGCTTCAGCCACTTTCCCACTGCCGTAACCTGGCTTCCCTGTTCCTTATATGGAAGAAGCCATATAATTGTGACATGATTGTAGCATTAACGACCTCGTCTTTGTCTTACCATCAGGCTACTTGAATCGCATACGGTACAATCTCCAATTATCTTGACTGGTTCGTGTCTTTGAAACAACGCTATCTGGTTCTGATGCTTCATGCAAAATATAGAGGGTGATTGAAAAGTAACACCCCGTTTTAAAATACTTATAATTTATTTATTCACTATCCTTTTTACGAGAAATTGATGTTAGAAGAAAGCGTTTAGCGTGATGTTTGATTTTAAAATTCTATATGGGCACCAGATTTCGCTGCCAGGTTCTCGAGCCACCCAGAAATCGCATCAACTGATTTCATCAGAAACTCTTATAATATGGAAGATATAACTTTTTAAATTCGCCCTTCATGTTCTTCCAAAGTCTTGTTTTAGGAGAGTAGACTTTAACCAACCCCAAAGAAAATAGTCACAGGCTGTTAAGTCAGAACTCTTGGCTGGCAACTCATACATAAGATAGGGAGTTACTTTTCATTCACCTTGCATATGGCTGCAAACAATTATGCACATAAAGTTTAACAAATAAAGTATAGGAGAAAAAGAAATTGGACGTAGAACAGACTGTGCCCCAAACCACAAATTGTTACGAAACCAAAACATCAACCTGAAACTCGAGTCATGATCTTTAATAGCCTGGCAAGCTCGGGATTTTTATATAGATGTCATGCACAGCACCAAAACAGTTCAGAAATATCTAAACTTTCAGCTTTTTGCAACCGCTTCCTCCGAACAATGGTGAAAAAAAGCTTTGAGCGAGCGAAGCCTGAAGACATTCAACACCAGCACTTGATAAGACACCAGAAGTGTTGAAACAAAATGACTATTTTTGTAGTGATTTTATAACATATTTATGTTATAATTTTCGAATAAATAATTATATTGGCTCTACTCTGTATTGAGCACTCTTTTAAAAATAGTATTTGTTCGTTATTGCAATTTATTCCGTAAACATCAATCCTATACATATATATATATATATGTGTGTGTGTGTGTGTGTGTGTGTGTGTGTGTGTGTGTGAAAAGTGTATATAAATATAAATAAATATATATATGTATAATTATTTATATATTATATGCGCGGTACTTATTAGACTAATAATATCATACTATGTCTGTCTAATATTATGTACATGGCCATGTTTTTCGAAGAAATGTTGTTTAAACTAAAGCTACTATACGAAGCTTGGAACGGCTCATGATCAAACATAGTAGACATTTGTTGTCTGTTATATTTAACAATATATTCTTTAATAATGGTCTGCTGCCCTATATACTGAATACACACCCACATGTGTGTGTGTGTGTGAAAAGTGTATATAAATATAAATAAATATATATATGTATAATTATTTATATATTATATGTGCGGTACTTATTAGAAAGCTCTCAATATCAGAAATAGAGCTAACATATTTGGTTGGATAGATGTGAGTTTGTGACCCTGGGTTTCACGCTTTAGCGATCGTCAGAGTTTGTCTGACGATCGCTAATGCGAAAAACCCAGGTCACAAATTCACATCTATCCAACCAAATATATATATATATATATATATATATATATATATATATATATATATATATATAACCTTATTTTGCGGTTTAATAATTTCTTTCAATTAATTTAATTTTATAGGACTTCATGGCAAACAATATTCTTTTTAAGAAAATTTATGTTTTTACTTTTTAACAGCGTTTGGTCTTAGGATTTGTTCATATTTCTCGCAAACGCAGGGTGAACTGGAAACTGGATTCTTGGACATAAAAACTTAAAAAAAAGATATGCAAAAAACAATATTGTAATTTTATTAAAATAATCATTAAATTGTTTTTTTAAAATAGTGGGATTATTTTGTATATTAAATAATAAAACTTAATTTTTCCCACAAATTAATGAAAAGTTATTGTAAGGATGGTCCTAAAGTCTTGTGACCCTTACTCACTACATGATAATACCCACACAGCGCGTTGAAATAGAAAATTATATAATGTAGGGGTGACAATAATTTCGGACCACTCCGTACGAAGTGTAATGAAGTATGCAGGTGTAGGCTTTAAGAAAGCTTTATTCTACTGAGGATATTCAGTCACCCACCCCTCACGAGGGCGTCATGTGGCACAAGGCCGGTTTAACGTGGGATCTCCGAGCCCGTGGGCTCGGCCAAAAATATGCCCATTGAACCCGTATAAACAGGTTCAGGGTCGGTTTACCTCCGCGAAAGAGAATCCGCCCTTCGGCGTAGCCTCGTTCGGGTTCCTCCCCGCCCGGTCAGCTGGTCGCCTGACTTCAGACTGAACTCAACCCGACTCGCTGAGCTTTATTCTACTGAGAATACAAGGTTCACGTATTTTGTCCTTTTATAGTCCCAGTAAACAGAAATAGCTCTCTTAAAGAGGAGACTAACAAAATAAGGGGAGACAACTATTGGTTATTCATAACAGTAAGCTACGCGCCCCAGTAAAACCAACTGTACTGTGTACCCTTACCTCTTTGCAAATCTCTCCAAACTTTCGTTTTAGACTGGTCAATGCATGGCTATTTTAGAGGGTGTGACGAACAGCAAGTTACAGAATTTTATATGTAGACTTCAAACTTCACTATAGTAGTTACTTCATATTTGACATTGTTTAATAAAAAAATATGGCATCTATTCTATATATGAAGTGTCCTTTATAATAACATTTGTAGTACTATTAAGATCATGAAATATTAAACGCTTCAATGAGGAAATACTTTTATTTACTTTCAACTTTACCAAAACTTTGGTAATGTTCGCATAAGAACTTTGTTCGATTTCATGATATTGTTGTGTTGCAGACATGCATATATTGAGATATTTTTGCACATTGTAAAGGAACATCTTTGAGTGCATATGTAAGTGCTTTTATCGAAGGTGTAAAAGGCAGTCGAGTAAGAATGCACAATGCTTCTATGTGCATGAATTTCTTTTTATGTATATTTGGGGGGACGTGTCTATTTGTACAATTCTATAAAATCGTATTGAATGATTTGGGTTCTAGCAAGCAGGATTTTTTTGGAGGCGTAAAGAAACATTTTTTAAACGGTCGTTAAAATTTCTACGTTTAGTTATATGCGTTGAATTATTTATTTATTTTTTTAGATTTTTTCCCCGTTTATTTATATCTTTCGATTACGAGATATTTTCATGTTTGTCTGTCTGTGTGTCCGTCCGTATTTCGCCTTTTTTTTTAAAAATGTTTATCGTTTGTTAATTCTTATTTTTTTTTAAATTATTTTTATTTTTAAAATAGTCTTCCTTGATGTATTTTCTTTTATTGTTCTATGATACTCGTTCTGTTTTTATTCAGTATCTCCTTCAATTATTTTAAAATCTTCTTTAATACGTTCTCTTTCATTTTCTTTCTTTGACACTTCTTTCATTCTTTATATTCTTCATTTTCTCTTATTTAATCTTCTTCGTAAATGCATTTTCTTTCATTTCATACTTGGAGAATGCTACTTTTATTCTCCCTCTCTTTCGTCAATTCTTTCTTCTGTAAATTTCTTTCATTTTCCTTCCTCGTTAATCTTTCTTTTCATTTTTCTTTTTTTTAACCAATTTACACTTCTGTCAACTTTTCTTTAATGTGTCTTCTTTCATTTGTTTTATTTGACATTTCTTCTTCTTCTTCTTCTTCTTCTTCTTCTTCTGTGTTTTTTTTTTCATTCTCTTCCCTAAAACTCTTTTCATTCTTCGCCTTCTTCAATTTATACCTTTTAAATTCTTTTTCAATGCGCTTTCTTTCATTTTTCTCTCACGCTTTTTCATTCTCCACCTTGAATATCTCATTTTTTTTTAAGAATAAATTTTCTTCTTAAGTAATCCTTCCTCCATTTTGGTTTTGTAAAGCTTTTCCCATAGTTATTAATTCCTTTAATATTATATTTCTTTCTTCAGTATTTCTTTCTGAATTCTTCTTTAATATTCATGAAAGACATTAACGTCTCATATCCTTGCTGCTTAAACATTTCTAGGATAACACGTCTGTTTTTTTTTATTTCTTCATTCATTCTTATCTTCTTTTTTGATCCCCACCTCTCTCTCTCTCTCTTTCTTTCTTTCTGCTTTCCATTTTTATTTCTTTCTCTACATTTTGTATCATTCAAGAAATTTATTTCGATATTTGCTATACCGCTATTCATTTTCCTTTCAAACAGATGTTGGCGTTACACGATTTTTTCTTAATTTTTTTTTCACCCGATTTCGTTTCGTTTTATTTTTCCTTCGCGATTTCTTACATTTTTTTTTCATTCATTTATTCATTCACTTTTCCTTTTATACTATCGATCAGTCACTTCCCGTATCATTCTTTATTTCTCTCTCTCTCTCTCTCTCACTCACTTTTTACATCCATCTTTCTTCTGCTCACAGACTATTTCTGTTCTTAAACCCGACTAACACCCACTCACCACTTATGCCACATTTCTCCAGTCCCAGGGCCTCCGTCTAAACCTTTTTCTCTCTGTGTCACATGCAAGTGGCATTAACAGCGGCGAACTTTTTCTTTCGTCTTTTCGTGATCGTTCTTGTTTTTCACGTCAACGGAACATTGGCCGACTCACCAGGAAAACAACCCAATACAAATCAACAAATAAAAAAAAATATGAACCACAAACACAGTTTGTTACTCGCCAACAAAAGCAGAATCAATTAATAGGAAAATGCAGGAAGATAGATGCTAGCCTATGTGGCTCAATGTAAGTGGATGTTAATATAAAGGGCACACACACACATACATATATATATATATATATATATATATATATATATATATATATATATATATGTGTGTGTGTGTGTGTGTGTGTGTGTGTGTGTGTGTGTGTGTGTGTGTGTGTGTGTGTGTGTGTGTGTATATCTCCAAGTATAGGACTGGTGTATACGGAATAAATTCCAATAACCAAAAATTACTATTCTTAAAAGAGTGCTCAATACAGAGTAGAGCAGCTATAATTATTTATTGACATCGGAGGTGTTGAAACAAAATGGTTATTTTTGTAGTGATTTTATAACATATTTATGTTATAATTTTTAAATAAATAATTTTATATATATATATATATATGTGTATATATTTGTTTGGATAGATGTGAGTTTGTGACCCTGGGTTTCACGCTTTAGCGATCGTCAGACAAACTGATTAATGTTTTAAAAAAATTTGGGTTTATGTAGATTGCGTGTATTGGTGTTATTGTGGAAGTGGTGGGGGAAATTTCGTCGTTTTGTCATTCATCGTACTAACGCAAACATCGATGTATGCAGACACTCGCGCTATTCTATATATATATATATATATATATATATATATATATATATATATATAAAAATCAGTAGGTCAGTTGAATCCGCTACCTTGGTTTCAACTTTACGGTATCCTCAGGTGAAAAAAACTAATGAACGCTATATTTTATAAAAATAAATAAACGAACGGACGACGTTGGGAGTAATAGAAAGGGAGGAGGGGGGAGATGGGAAGAAGTAACGAAAAGAAGAAGAAGAAGGAGGTGGAAGAGAAGAAAATGTCATTATATATATATATATATATATATATATATATATATATATAGAAAGAGAGCGAGAGAGCGAGAGATGGAGTGGAACGGCTCTGCGGGCCACCGCGGGCCACCGCGGGGTTAGATTATCATTTCTTAAATGGGTCTCTGTATTCGGGCAAAGCCCGACTCAGTTGTGACGCTGTCTGCGTTCAGAGAGGCAGCTGGGAAAAAAAATGAAATACTGCATGTCCCAGGGAATGGATGCGTAAAGCTGCACTCCATTGCACTAGAGATGGAGGATCGCTAATCAATACCGGCGGTTGCGGAGGCTGGGCAAGTTTTGTCTTTGGCTCGAGTGTACGCGCTCGATCTCCCCACATCAACCCCGACCTTATTATGTCACATATTGCTGCAGAGGGGAGGCGAGTGTAAATAAAATGACTTTGCTATCACACACACACACACACACACACACACACACACACACACACACACACACATACAGAGGGTGCGATAGGTAAATTGTCGCCATTTTATATATCTAATTTCGCGCATGCGTGTTGATTGTTTTTGATTTTTTTTGACTGCACAGTATAGTAGGGTCAGCTCGGCGCCATCTGTGGAAAAAAAGCGCACCATAACGCACTTCGCTCCTCCACAAATTTGGAAACGGAATGCTGTACTGCTTGGCATTCGTGCCGGAAGATCCAATACAAAAATTTCAGAGTGTTTGGGCGTCAATCTGAGGATTGTGCAGAGGATTCGGAAAGAGTTGGATGAGTCCAATGGTGATTACGAAGGTATGGCAGCTCGGAAAACACACGCCGATCGTTCTGATTTCGAATTTTTTTGCTGAAGGTCTCAGACTCAACACGGAGGCGTACATCAAGTACCTTGAGGAGATAGTCTAGCACTGGGTCAAGAAGATCTCTACTAGACGATGACTTTATGCCTGGCAACAGGACACTGCACCTTGTCACAAAAGCTGTCTGTCAGACGATTTCTGCGATCGCATCACCCCTTACATCTGACCACCTAACTTCCCAGAATATTTGATTATTATGTGTGGAGCGCAATTGAGTGAGAGACCAACTAAACTCCTTATAGCACAAAAGATGAACTGAAGGCAAGGATTATGTTAGCATTCACCAACTTAAACAAGGAGACCGTACAGAAGACATGCAGGAGATTCTGAAGTCTTCTGGAGGCCGTGGTTGAAGCCAATGGCGATTTTAGTGAACAAATTTACGCTTTAGTATTCCAAGAATATTTTTCTGCAAGTTTTGTTAAATAAGGTGTAACCCGGATATAAGAGAGTTGTTGGGACCGGAGAAGAAGTCTCTTATATCCGAGTTTCTCTTATATCCGGGTTTGGTCTTTTTTGTTTAGGTAAGTATGGGCTCTAATTTGGGACCAGAGAAAATCTCTCTTATATCCGGGTTTCTCTTATATCCGGGTCTTTTATATCCGGGTTACACTGTATATCTATTAAAAGTGTTATTTTCAGTTTTGCATAATTTTGACGACTATTTATCCATCGCACCCTGTATATTTGTTTTAACTGTTATTGTTATATTTGTCTATATTTCTGAGATGCGGTATTGTAACTATTTAAATTGTTCAGACTATTGTCTTCATATTTATTGTCATATTCACGACGTTTCGGCCGTTGTACCCTCCGGCATTCTTCAGGTGATATACGTTGGAATTTCGAACCAAACCCTTTATTCAATCCACCGTGGTATATTGTTCTATTTCCACGTGCCATGCCTTTTCTGGCTAACCCAGTTTCAGTTAATTCCCTTTAGTAACTCAACTCTCCAACTTTTTGTTCACCTCTGCTGTGACCAGGTATTGAACTCACTGGGTCGCTGGATTATATCAACCAACGCCTTCCGTCCTGGATTTGACGATAAAATACATCCACGTCCTGGGTAAGACGATAAACTGCGTTCAACAGAAAGGCCTCTGATCAGGAGGTTTTGAGGAGCGTGGAATCACCTCTTAATTGCTGGTGTTTCCAGGTCCACCCTGACCCGGGTTGGTAGCACCTGTTAGGATTCCTGTCTCTGGACAAATAGCTAATCCCCAAACTGGGGTCAAAGCACTGTGAAAGTGTAAAAAATAGGTTTTAATACCAGAAATACTTTGTAAAAAAAAAAAAAAAAAAAAAAAATTACCAGCGATACATTTTTGAAAGAAAAAAAAAAACAAGAAAACATTTCCAGCAATACAACTTTTGAAAAAAATATTACCAGCAAAGGGAAATTATTACCAAAAATAGATTTTTGAAGGAAAAAATATTACTAGAAATGGATTTTTTGAAGGAAGGAATATTACCAGAAATAGATTTTTGGAAAAAAAAATATTACCAACAATGAAAATTTTGTCGGCATTAAATGACCCATTAAGGTTGATATACCGTAAAACAAACCAAACGAAACCAAATCAACCAATGCTTTTTATCCACTGGACCAAGCGTACCATGGATGGAGCGTCGTGAATATAATAATAAAGAAGAAGACAATAGTCCGAATAATGTAAATAGTGTAAAAATGTTAATCTCTATCTATAAAAGGCAGGATGTGTGTGTGTGTGTGTAACGAATGCACGGCCGCAATTTTCCACGGATTTTGCACTAAAAATTACATGCACAGGCTCCGATTTAGCAGAAAGGCCAAGACTGACTTTGAATTTCCCAACTCCCATCGATAGTGGAAATAATCGATTTTTTCATGCTTCTACGGCAGTTTTCATGTAGTTTGCGGCAATTTTGTACTGGCCAGAGTGGGAGCCTATAGCTGGCTGCCACGAATAGGCAGGAAGATTCTATTGGCCAGCGTGAGGGCCAACAGCTAACTGACACGAATGTTAACTAGCATGCTAGCATGCAAAAAAAAAAAGTCAATAACTGCATTCGTCACAAGTGGGAAAAGTTTAAATCTTAAATCTGCATGGCACTTTACTTCAATTGGCTCATTCGCTTGCTTAAACTCAACGTTGTTTCTGATTCAGAATTGGGTTTGGTGTAGTATTTGTTGTTAACATTCTTTTTTCATTCGGTTTTTCCAGTTACGAGTCCTTTTTTAAAGCTGATCGTTTTGTGTTTATTTTGTTTAGTTCTTTTTTCGTAACAGATTTAATGTTTAGAATAGAGCTTCGAAAAAATTCGCAGTGTGAGATCAGCACGGCAAAGGGCACTCCTTTAAAGTCAAGGAAGGGCAAAAATATTTTAAGTCAAGTGATAGCTATTGCTGTATGAGTCACACGATTTTTTAAATCAAGCACGGGCAACGCCGGGCCATGCTGCTAGTATTATATATTCTTGAAGAAAACACTTTGATTTCTCTCACTAAACTAGCACCCAAAATAAAAGTTTTCAAACGCAAAGGCTTCATCAATTGGTCGTCTGCTTAATATGCTTTCTATATCCGAGAAGAAGAATCGTCATTATTTAAATTCGGATTGTAAACTTGAAGTGGAAAAGATTTTCTTCTGAAGAAGGAGGCTGAAAATGCCATGGACGGAATGTGTAAACATTGGGAAACATGAGATACAAAAGAGACAAACATTTGTAAGAGATCAAACATTTCTAAGAGCTATAAATAAAAGGGAAGTTGTGGAGCGCTATGATCGCCCCACAGCTAGAAGAGATGCGGCATATAAAAGAACAGAATATATTTGGAACTTTCTGTTGAAATCATAAGGAAACCTTAAAACGCAAGAGAAATATGATTTTACAAGTGTTAATTTTCCATGTCTGTACAATTTTGTTATTTCAAAGTCTACATGACTTGCACAAATTGTTAAAACTTTAAAATCTGAAAAAAAAATCTTAAAAGTAATGCAAAACGTCCCGCTTGCAAAATGTACGAAATATAATAAGCTGTAAACTTGATTCAAAATCAATAACTAGTGTCATTTTTAGCATCGGCATGTAGAAAATAGTAATCAG